TAACAACACAATTCACAGTACAACTAAAATAAAACCAATTGACTTTTTAAATGGAAAAATTCACGAAGATAGATACAAATCGATACATGACCTAATCTCTAGAAAGAAAGAAAATTACATAAATAAATTAAATAGGGACAGAGTTGACGTAGAAATAGAAGAAGGGATAAATTTTATTAAAGAAATTAGAGGAGGTAAAAACCATAGAAAATATAGGAAGATACATACAAAAAAAATTGACGAAGATCACATAGAAAATACAAAAACGGGACATAAGTACTACAAAACTCATATAAAACAAAATAAGAAGTATCAGGATAAAGATAATCCTAAAATAAAAGCTTAATAATGAACAAATCGACATATACTTTTTCAGATGACACCATTGATTTTGATAATTACATTTCTAACAACCACCAGATCACAATCTATTGACATTCAAGACCTAACTAACAATAACGGATACATACCGATCAGAACAGGAGACCTTAAAGTAATTGACCACTACAACAAAATCCTACACATTGTTAACATAACCGCCTACACGGACACATTAAACTTAATTCTGCAAAATATACAATCCCTTAAAGTTAACAGAATAGAAACTAAAGCAGTATCAGATACAGTAAACAAAAATTTTGCACTACTAAAAGGAAAAATAGAGAACCTAAATCCTCATTTTAGACAAAAAAGAGGACTAATTAACGTATTAGGGAAAGGACTCAAGTTTATAGCTGGCACAATGGACAGTGATGACGAAACCGAAATAAGTAATTCACTCAAATCACTTTATAAAGATGAAGAAGTCTTGACAAACAAAATTAACAACCTGACATTTGTTAACAATTTCATATCCTCCCAAATACAGAACATTACGGATCACATAAATCAAAAACAAACTCTAATAGGAAATTATTTGAACAAATTTAAAAACTTTATGGAAAACAGAATAACTACATTAGAAGAAGAAATAACATTTATAGAACAAGTCTACCAAATCAACAACGATATTTCACTCTTACGAAACCATGTCGATGATATTGGACAAATAATATTTTCTAGTAAACTCGGAATAATTCCCACGGACATCCTAACTAACACAGAACTCAATTTTATTAACGATTTTGACAGTTACACTAATATCAAAGTAGCCGTCGCAATAAACGATAGCAATATAATAATAATTCTCCAAATCCCACAATATTCCAAGGAAGTTTTATCAAAAATTGTATTCGAGCCAATTCCTAATATATATAACAAATCGATTATTTTAGATAAATACGAAATATTAGTAGATTCCAAAAATAATATTTACGATGCTAGCATTAAGGATAATCTTAAGAAAAATATAATACAAATCACTAACAAATGCCTTTCAAATATATTAAATTACGAAGAAGCATACTGCGATATGCAAATATCAGAAGAATCAATTGTAACTGAAATTTTACCAGGCATATTAATATTTAAAAACTTCTATTCCAAAATTGAACATAATTGTAATAAAATTAATATTAAAATAAATGGCAACTTTCTAATAAAATTTGAAAACTGTGAAATTTTTACAGAAACGAAAAATTTTACCAATACCAAAATAAAACTTTATGAACAATTTATTCTACCTAATGCCATAACTAAAGTAAAAGAAAAATCAAATATGACATTCACTAATTTAAAACTAGAATCACTATACTTAGAACAAATCAAACATGTAAAATACATTGAACAAATACAATATGAAACTAAAAAATCAAATCTTATAAACATAAGCATAGATATAATAATTGTTTTGATCATTATAATGTTAATGGTATTTATTATATATAAGATAAAATTATTCACCATATTGCATATTTCGTCGGAGCCTCAATCTAACGGTGGGGGTGTTATATTAAAACCCCTTAATATAATATGACCACAAGTCTGTTACATTTCCGGCACATGCCAATAAAAGAATTGCAAAACAATTCTTTCGGTCAATAAACTTTAAAACCTAATTAATTTACCAAAATTGCAAAACAATTATTTGGGCCAATAAACTTTAATAATTCTAAATAATTTACCAAAATTGCAAAACAATTCTTTGGACTTATTTTGCAAATAATAAACTTACAAGCAAATGACCAAATATGCAATATAGACAAAATGATTAACATAAGTGGCGAGTGCAAGCCAGTAAGCGAGCAGTCTGTCTCTGAGTGTTAATCATAAAAGGTGGAAAAATAAGTTTAATATAAGAAAATAAATAATAAGTTAAAAGTGTAATAAAAATTAAAAATTGAATAAAGATTAATAAAAAAAAAGAAAATACTTTTTTTTATTCCTTTCGAAAAATTCGAAACAAAAGTGTTAAACAAATTTTCTTTTGTTGCGCTTTTTTTTCTTCTATTTTACTGGAAATTATGTACGCACATATTTTAAAAATATATTTAACTCATGATTATTCATCTAAACATACACAACATTAAAAACATTAATCATATATTGACTTGTATTTAGAAAAATAATTTTTATTAAGTTAATAGACTCAAAAATTTTTAAACCTTTCTAAAAATTCTCTCCGACATTGTTGGACGTAAAATAAATATAAAATCACACTACACAAAATCACAAAATTACAAAATGACAAAATCAAAAAAAATAACTTGAAAGTTTCTCTAAAGTATTGCCCAGCGAAAGTATTGAAAAAAGTAGTATCATCCATAATAGAGTGGTGTTGAAAATATGGTCTTGAATATTGCCTTGCAAATCAAGAGCAGTATTATAAGAAAGCGAATTGTTTTTGTAAAATCAAATAATTTTACACATGCAACGATGCTCAATATACTTTCTGCCCTATACTTTCTGGATTTTGTAAATAAAACACACAAATTTAAATTTTATTCCAAATTTATTTTATCTCTTTCAAAATATGCTCCTTCTGAAGCGATACACATGCCAACGCTGAATCCAATCTTCCATACACTTTTCATAGGCCGTGCAGGTATGACTTTTAGTTCCTTCGGCGAATTCTTTTTTATCGATTTAATCGACTCAAAACGCTTACCACGGCACCAGATCTGACGAATATGATGCCGGAGCGATGACAGTGGTGCCGTGTTTGGTCAAAAAATCACGTACAACAAGAATTTTCCATAGTAAAAATCGCTAAATGCACTTGAGGTAGTCTCACATTAACAGCTGCTGTAAACAAACTAATTGACAGATGGCGCTCAAATTTGTACCATAAAGGGTGTACCAACTTAACAAAAAAGTTATTACTTAAGGAGAAGTTAACAAAAAACCAAAATCCGGATACTTTTTGAGCAGAAGGTAATATTTATACAGCAGTATTAAAAGCAAGACCACACACATGTGTTTAGTGATCACTCTTTCATTCAAAGCTGTTACTTTCACCAAATGCACATAATCTCCTTCCCCTCTGTTTACCATTCTACTAGCGAGCCAAAAGAGTCCCTATCCCTATTATAAACTGAATAAGATATCCACAATATCTATACAGCTTGCGTCTGAATATATACGTTATAGAGAGATTTTTGTGTATGCAAAAATTAGTTTATGTAGCTGAAAAAACTTCGTTATACAGAGGTTCAAATATATGAAAAAATATAAAAAATTACTGTGTCTTCAACAAGACTTCATTAGAGAAAGGAATTCGTCATAGGGAGTTTCCTATAGAGAGAATTATATGACAGTAATTCTAGTTTGGAACAAACAATTACTATTATACATAATATTTTTAATCTCAAATTTAATTATTCAGCACACCTAAGTCATGATAAAAAAAACAAGTTCGATGAAAAGATATCTTTTCAATTACAATTTATTCATTGGAATTTTATATTCAGTCCTAGGGATATAGTTGGCCATTAGAAGGAAAATAAGTTGGCCACACGAGTAGCTTTAAGTATTTATTTGGAATATCTTACAAATCCGGTCATACTACTTTTATAATTACATTTGTCATTATTTTACAATTCTTTCTATATTGAGCAATTTTACGTTATAAAGACATCTATGTGACATTTTGCC